TGTTACGAGAAGGCTGTCGTTAATTTTGGTGAAGACCGTCAGATTTAGGAGCGTACCTACCTTGAGAGTTTTGTTGAACAGTGTCACAAACTCAATTGAGTCATCTATTCAACAGGCGTAACTTCAACTTAGTCAATTATTTCATGGGAAATACCGTCACAAGTCAAAAAGTGATAGTCTTTCGCAGAGAAAATACATTTTGTCATTGTTATTTCTTCAATTGTGCCTATCTTCCCTGAAATATTTCATTAATATATATTTTTTTTTTTTGATAGTTTGAATTTCAATGTAGTTGTGTCACTTTTCCACAAAATTATCGATGCTTAGAGCTCTACATTTTAATCAAGTAACCCGTTACAAAAAATCTGCTCCTATCCATGCACCCGACCAGTACATAACCCTCATCAGGCAAGCGAAAATGATCCGCACAGAGTTTTGGAGTTAACTCATCAATTTTCATGATTTCAAGGATCTCTCCGAACGTTTAGGTGTGAAAACTGGGTATAAGGATCAAAAAGGAGAACCTCTGAAAATTTCGGATGTTGAAGTGTTGAAGGTTGAAAAAGCGCATCCTGAGTATTTTTCCTACAAAATTTCATACGAGGAAAAACAATTTTCAACGTTCATGGTCCTGAATCCTAGAAGGAAATCAAGTAATCCAGTGCCATCATTGAAGAAGGCCTATAATTAACCAGTAGGAATATGTGATGCTAAAAAAAGGGAATAATGGCACTAATCCATTTTGGCGGCTCGGTGGTCGAGAGCGTAAAGGCGCTGAGTTCGTATGGGGACTCCCACCCGAGACCTAGGTTCGAATCCTAGTTAGGCCATGGATGTTTGTGTTTGTATGTATACCTAACCCCGCACAAGTTTCGACTTATGGGGCGTTTGGTCCCAGTGCTGGGACCAACGAGGTATGCAATTGCAACAAAAAAAAAAAAAAAAAAAAAAAAAAAAAAAATCCAAAAAACCTCCGTTCCTAGTTTGTATGTGGTTTGTATGGTCAGTTTTACAACAACTTATAAATTTATATCCAGTTGTTAGGGAAGATAGGTTTTATTAGTCTCCACATGGAAACTGTTTAATGAACTTACTAGAGCTACTCATAGGGTAATGTTTCGTTTTCAATTTATTTTATGAACAATTGTTAGTTGAGGTTATTTTGTTGTTTCCGTATTTCTTTCATAATGTTTTTGTCATGGCAGATACGGTAGTAGTATTAGCCTCTATAATACAACTACTTCATGCACCTATACTGTTGCTGCATCGGGAAAAGAATTATTTAGTTTGAGCATTGTCCTGTGAAACCAAATTTAGTTTAGTTTTGCTTGAATGTAATCATTTTGCTGTTATTAGTAAAAAAGCACTCGAAGAGAATGTTGGTTTTGTTTCATTTGTCCACCATCCCAGCAAACATTTTGATATGGGACATCAATGGCCTGATATATTTTTCCCATACCTGACATCAGCGGCCCAGTAAATGGTCCCATTTGCGGGACTCTATATATCAGTACACTGCGGCCGGCAGCTGGTCCCAGTGCTGGGTACCCAGCAATTATATTCAGTTCCCCGGCAAATGGCCTGTACAACATGATTGACACATTGCGTTTTCCATTGCAAGCCCAGCATATTCATGAATGATGGGAGAGTAATGGCCAATTAACGACATTGGTTACATACTATCGAGGTAGGGGAGGGGTAGGGGTTTTAGGGGTCCAATGGATCTGAAAGTTCTAGAACCTCTTTATTTCACAATATAACCCTCTCATCATGAATCAGACACATACCAGATTTCAAAAAAACAATTTTATGAATGAAACAATGATATCTTCTTAACCTCTCTGTTCTGTAAACTTCTCGGAGTGACTGCTTATATTTCTGGTTGGTATGGTGGTACCTATCTACATCTTATTGGGTAGCATTACTTAAACGTTGATTCTTCGTTGTGAGGTACTTCTGAAATATAAAATGCATCATCAGTTATATATTAGTGACCTTCATGTTGCATGAGTTCATACCTTGATAATATAGTCTGATGATGTGATAACATGGAGCTTTCCAATTCTCATTATTTTCTTGGCACATGTATTTCTGTAGCTGAAACCTTATTGTTATTTAGTTCTTCAATATAGAGACAGGTTCACATAACTTAAGATTGCTTTTGATAGCAACAAACGAGTTAAAAATGATGGTTATTGCTTTTGGAGAAGTATGGCCAGCTCCAATTATTATGATCATTAGGTATATGAGGTTACGAGATACCAAACACATGCACTTGATAATGAAATTTGAAACACTATGTAGGTAGATTGATACTTACTCAATATTATCATAATTGATGAATCCGTCGTCTATTATCATCAATTGTGATGGCAGGAGTATGCCATCATAAATAACCACCAGGGAAAGGGAGGACCACATTAATTCGACATAAACAAACTAGTACGCGATCACCACTCACGAGAGTCAGCCATCTTAGTCACATATAATATTGATCAGTTGATTGTTGATGTCTACGTTCCCAGAACATCCACCAGGGGGACGAGTAGCGAACATGAAACTGGCCAGCAAAGGGCCAGATCTCGTTAGTATTCAATTATTTCCAGACATCTCACCATCACAGGGCCATCATCATATTTTTAACTGATGGTTACTTGGCATAGGAAAATCATCGGCCCATTACCAATACCCCGTCATCGTCACTTTTCCAGACTATCCTGCACTAGGCCGGACTTCTCCCGCTAGTTCAATGTTTGCTGGGATCGGCTAACGTCTCCATGTTTTTCAACTCAAAAAATCGAATTTTTGGTAATTCTTTAATAATATAGAGACACATATTATATTCAATATCTATAGGTTTTTTGGTCAAAACCGTTACAAATCTTCTTTTTTTGGAAAAAATAATCAAAAATGAAATGTTGAATATAGATATAGTTTCTCAATGGTGAAAAGAATCTTATGACGGGGCAAAATCGATAAAACTTACTAAGTCGAATACTTTCATTATTGCCTCACAAAATTGAAGGAAACCTTTGAACAGCGTTTTCTCAAGAAAATACTTTTTCGACTTGTGACGGTCTTCTTCTTAACAACGAACAAATATACAATCAAACCAAACAAACAGTTAGAAATACGTGAACAAAAACGAAAACATGTTTATTTTCAAACACAACATGAGTAATGGAGTTGATTAAATATATTCAGTCAATAAAATCATGTATTCTAGATCGTGGTTTTCTCAAAAGCCATAATTTTGATCGTTTCTTGAAAATGTGAAATTGATGAATCATTTCGATGTCATGTGGAAATATATCGAATAATGTTGGAGCAATATGAGTAAAGATCCTTTCTCCAATCGATTTTTTTACCATAGGTTTTTGTGATTCTTCATTTACAGTTCTAGTGTTATATTTATGACTCCTATACGTTATTGTGTATTTGTTTCTCTTCATATTAATTGATTTAGCTTGTGCATATAATTGTCTTATGTCGAGTTTCTGTGAGATTTTCCTAACACTGAATGAGAGCATCATATAAAACTGAAAGATAACGTGTTCCAACAAGCTGTCTGAGGTATTTAAATTTTGGTATTTGCAAAAAACTGGAGATATGTCTTGAGGTTGAGACCCAATTCGCTGCGTGCCATCATCGCATAATGCTGAACTTTTACGAGAAATCACAACATTTTTCAACCTCCTGAACATTTTCGAATGTTGATAAGATCAAGTCTATGGCCATCTATCCTCGCCGAGAAAACAAACCATACATTATTACTGAGGTGTGGAAACAAGTTAACACCCTCAAAAATGGGCTTATATCACAAAGAAATTTCATTTCATTATTCGATAGAACTCACCCAAACTAGCTCACCACCGCAAACCGTTTCTTGCTGTGAGCTCCCTACGTTTTATAAAAAATTATTGAAATCCCCGATTTTTCGGACCTCTGAAAACGAGGCGATGATGTGACGTCAAAACCCTAATACTGAAACAAGACTATTCCAGACAGAGATGAATGATATATGATTTCTGACAGAGTGAATTAGCGCGGGATCACAGTTGAAAGAATTAATATATCAGTTGCCTCAGTCTCCGTCGGGCGTTTGGTATTTTCTTTTAACTATGGCGAGATGAGGTTTCTACGTCATAAGAGGGTCCGTTTTCAGAAGGTACTATTATTTATGTCCAAAAATAAAACATTCCAGTTAATTTATCGATCGAATTATGTCATCAATCATTATTTATGTATAAATGGATCATCATAAACATGGTTTGAGTTAAAAGTTCTACTAAGGTGTACACGCCCATTCATGGAATGTTCCTATATAAAATACTATCTTCCAATTTCCGCAATCAATTACCCTAATCCGATATCATAGTTACACAAAAATCACTGAATATTATAATTTGGACACATCATACTCTACCCTACAAAAAAACAGATAGATTGGATGCGAATGATATTCAATTCGATATAAGTACATCAATTTATTCCGAAACCCCATCTTATCCACAAAAATTTCTCACAATATAGAAAATCATTTCAATTTAAAAAATTCAAAGCAACTGATAGACACTCTAACTAACTTCCATTATCGACTGTGAACAGTAATTACACTTTTATTTCTGATCTCAACTTCCTGAGTCCCTGAAATTTATCAAATATAAAAAATTTCTGTCGATGTCGATATGAACATTTCATTAAAGAACACCTTGTGAATGAAAATTAATCGATAATCAACTGAAAACGCGGTGAAAAAAGTGAAACACACTCCACACATCTATGATAAGTATTTCTTTCTGTTGAGCAAGCCAAATTATGAGAACAATCAACTGACAAAAAGGAAATCAGATCTATTTCGTGATTTAATTTTTCATCCTCGCATCGCATTGGCCAATTCACATTTTGAATTGGATGATAATGATAACATACGAAGTCAAAGCTGAAAGGAACGCTGGCAACAGACGTTGGTTTATCTTGAAAAATCCTGCAGCACTAACAGTTGGCAGGAGTGCCTTGACGAAATCAGCGAGACTAGCGAGCTCTTTTCTTGCAAAATCGTCTTCGACGGTGGTTTGCAGATAGTGGCAGGTTTCCAAGACTTTGAGACCGCTTTTCTCCAGCTTATCACACGACATTATCGTCACCACAGTGAAGATCTACGAAAAAAAATAAACAAACATCAATTTGATTTAGGTAATTAGGAAAAATGGATTATAGGCGACTGGACTCAGGTTCGTAGTTGCAGCGCCTTGGTGAAAAAAATTTGCTTTGAAATGGTGCATTTGCGTGTGTGTATTATTCTCATTATTTGGTGTTACGAGCAGAAATGCTCAATTCTTGACTGTTTATCTTCATTCATATAGTAGGTAAGTAATATTCAGTCCTCTATAGCGATTACATGACTTGAATATCATATACTTAAATATTATTACCATTTTATGATTGTACGCGTTTGGTACTCTTCTGTGATTCGAGAAATCCTCTCAGCAAATCATCATTCGATGAGGTATTTTTCAATACTTCGAATACATGCAATTTATCAAATGAGGAATGACTGATTTTGAGGTAAAAATCTTGTTAATTCATTATTATGTGGATCAATATGAACCTGATGTTACTTCCAGTGGAGTGAATATGATTCAAATCTCGCAGACTATTTATTATAAATATGGAGTGTGGCTCACTTCTTACGTAATTGATGAGTAAAAATTCTGGACTTTGCAAGTACAGATACCTCCAACAATTAGACATAAAAACATACAATTTTTCTGCAACCGACACAAAAGTCATCCATTTTTATACCAAAATTAGCTCTCAAATTGACGTTTTTACGCGTTTTTATTACTGACACAAAAATAGGTATGTTGCTATCCAACATATTTAGTTCCGAGGAGCTAAAGTTGCACAGCTCCTGGGAACTAAAAAGGATGTACTGGACGTCATCAACAATAAACAACATTGTGACGGTTGGTTATTTGGGTTGAGATGCATACCTGATTTGTTTCCGATTTCGGCAGATTTGGCATTTCATACCGATGCTGGAGATATAAATACACCTTATAGTTGAGTATTGGAATCTCAGTTAAGTATTTTTGTTTTATTCAGAAAAGCCTTCAAGATTCAAATACTTGCTTGATCTGTATCATTTCATTCGTTATTCTCGGGATGGATAACTTGTTTATGAATAATCACGGCAAGCAATAGTTTTTTCGTCTCAAACAACAATATTGTTCAGCTTCATTTGATCATTAAGTCAAACACAGTGTAGTATAGAGAGGAATAAATAATCGCTATTATCATTGTTGATATGCTCACTAACCTAACATTTTCCACTTCTTGTTCTTATACCTGGCACTGGCGCGGTATTTGCCATTAGAGCACCTGGCCCATACACAAATATGTCACTCTGTCCTTGTATTTATATATTGGAACTACAATTCGAACATCCTTGAAAATTGAATAAACCTGCTGTTAATGCAAGTGACTTCGTTCGACTCGCAAAATTTGCTTTCGCTTGGCTTCGCTTAACGCTCCGCCTCGCAAATTCCAAATTCGCTTGTCAAACACAGTCTCACTTTTGATCCTGATAAAACAATCTACTATTTTCCTGAACTTAAACTACTAGGACCTAAAAAGGATGATCTCTCTGTTGACATGACGGATGTCAACCAAAATTGTAACAGAATGGAGCAGTCTGAGGCCTTGTTTCTATCTACCTACCCATATTATCATTATAATAATCTGTCAAGTTAGTCACTTAAGTGAAGTTACCATCCTTACTTCACTTATATCCATTTAAGTTAGGTGTTAATTTACTTATGTTAATCAATGTGAATCAACATTGCAAAATTCATAGATACTTGCAGTACTTCTGACCTCGATGAAAGCAAACACTCGGGTTCGGCTGTCTACCTCTAATCAATGATTCACAAACATTCCAGTTGAACTTTAAATTATTATACCTCCCCAAATACTGTTGTACAACTTGTATTCATACTTTGATTTTGTGTCGTCTTATATCTCCTTCTGCCCACATCATTCATCGCTTCAATTTCGGAAACACTGTATATCTCGACACATGAGTCCTAATCAATACTGATGAGTGTTGACTACCCATACTGAATGGCATACCAGAGGTTTATTCCATCAATGCCTACACCCTACACTGATGAGAGGTAAAGAAGCTCGAAATCGGTTTGTATTAGTCGTCGTGTTAACCTGGCGAAATCGAAATCAATTGGCATTAGAAAAAATAACACTTGCATGAGTATTCGTTCATACTTATCGATGACCATTGTTGCTCATTTTATGAACATTATAGTGACTGACTTTTTTTTCATTTACTATATTTTTGATGGAAACAGGATACATGAAATAGAAACCATTTTTTTTCTGAGACGGAAAAAAAGTTTGGCATTTCATCTCTGTGGGCAGGTTATAAAATGTCACTTTTCATAAATTACTTTTTTCCTGTGGGAAAAAAGTGTGTACTTTTTTTCCCGGATATATATAACATATATATACACTGTTGATGGCTTTTGTTGTGCTACAGTTTCGAAAAATGAGTCAATAATACCGTCTCCGAGAAAGAACTGCAAGTTCTTTTATCTTCCATTCGATTTCGCGGTTACGTATATTACTCAACAACCACTAAATTCGCAATTTTTTGAAATCAAATCACAGAATTAGACCGAGTGACATCAGATATTTGATTACTTCAAAAGAATGATAAAGATGCCTACAACGCAGGTGTCCCTACTGTTAAAAACTTGAAATTTCACGTCGATAATTTTCAGATTTCAAAATAATGTAATATCTTCTCAATATTGATTCGTCCTTTCTTCTGTCACAAAAAAAAATATACACGGGAAAAATATTAGATTTAAGTTCACGGTTTTTTGTCTCACAACACAACCTGGAGCTAGAATCTACTACTTTTTTCCTTGTATATGATAAATAACTATACATTCAATGATGGAATAGTTCGATTCATTGACGCTATTGGGATATGTATGCAAACTGAGAATATAGAGTTAGAAACTGTTTATCCACCGTTATTCTTTATTCCAAATTTATTGGGATTTTCTCTCCTCATTCCTATAGAGTAAAAATATGAATATTATTTCAATATCCGTGTAGTAAGGACAAATCAGATGACTTACCCCAAAATGTCACTGCGTTTAAAGAATTTTCCTATCAGAGAGGCAAAAAGAAAAATTCACTAGCTTGTCAGTGACAATTTGTATTGAAAAAAGTTTGGAGAAAAGAAATAATGAATGTACCACTTCCTCGATTAACCTACAGACAGTATTCACCGTTATTCTGTTGATAACTGTGCCATACCTCTGAAAATCACACCCATAGAGATAGTATGTCAACGGAGAAACGAAAAATCATAAATTATTATCAGAAACATATGTGATCCAGTGAGAGGAATAATAATAAAAAGATATATGAATGTACCATTGAAGAGGAGTATGCTGCAAAGTAAGTCACATCAAGAAAGTTCAATTATGCCAGTTTAGCATATGTCACTCACTAATCTTCTGACTCGTGTCCAACGTCAAAGTCATTGTTCTTTTTTCACAAGTTCAATAATTCTACAATTCCAGTTCCTTTCAGTTCTGATATGGCATACAGATGATTGTATAAGGAACATATTTTTAGAATGTTTGATAAGATTTCGAACCTGATCAGAGTCAATTCATTCTGGCTCTTCAGTAAATTCAGAGCTACAAATGTTCTCGATTTTGCTAACCCGTTAACGAAAGTCTTCTCATATACTGCCATTTTCATGATTCAATAATAATTGTATTCACAAATCAACGTCAGAATTATATCAGAATATCTCAAGATGTTTTGACATTGAATTAGGCTCATTTAATGGAGTTGGAAGGCAATACCGTGAATACCGAAAATAGTTATTTATGCCGAAAAGATGGAAAATAATACTTGGTAGTTTTTATCGCTGCTCAAGTACCGAGCTATCTGAATATGAAATGCAGGTATCATGCTCTCATCATAATTTCTCAGGAAGAAACGATGGCAAAGTGAAATGAATGAGTAGGGTTGTTAGTTGAGTATTTCTTTGAGTAATTCTTCCAGATAGGTTAGAGGGATAAGCTGTTTTTCTCAGTATATTAACTAGAATGATTGAACATGTTGTAAGTCATCTCAAAAAAATACCTAAAATAATTTTTCCACTGAGGGAAAAAAAAATTGTCAATGGAATATATGAATTGTCAAGAAATCCACTCACCCCGTAAAAAATATACGATCCCAACAGGAACCATCTATCAATGAATCGGAACGATTCAGACATGGCTTGATCCAAGACCAAGAGATGCTGCATGAATGAGTTCGAAAGTATATAAACCAAATACTTCCCGAACAAAGAATTGAATAACGCTACAATCGTATACAGAGTTTCCAAGAGCATTTTGAGCCTTGATACATTGCCCTTAATGTCTTCAATATTTCTGTTATCTCTGCTGAAGGCTAGTTGTAGATCAGCACTAACAGTATCGTATCTTCTTTGCAGCAAGTTCGTTATCTCATGTATCGATATCACCAAGGAGTACCATTGCATCCTCCACATAACACTATGGTAAAAGATTAGGATTCTCACGTAGCTGAAATTCATTTCGGTTATGAAATGCCGCCACAATGAAAGCATTATACCTATGATACCAAAAAGTATTACCGGTATCTCACGATGTGCAATGGATATATCTTTGAGGAATGTGGTTCTCATCAGTGATCCATCCAGATTGGTAACGCTCTGGAAAAACTTCTTCCATTCTGGCCCGTTTTTGAGTACATTGTACATTCCGATCAACTGATTGACAATGAAGGTCGACATACAGATGCAATAGATTGCTGAGTAAGCGTTACTACCATTTCTGAATGGGTTCGATAAATTGAAAAAATCGACGTAAATATGCAATATTGTACAAGTTATCAAAAAAATGTACAATGTAAAAATGAAATAATTATAAATATTACTTTTCTCTTTTTCATCTGGTTTCCAATTCACTAATCCAAAAGTAGCTAGAAATTTCATGTGGAACGTCAATAATTTGATATCTTTGTTTCGTGAAGCACCTTCAATCTCTTTGATGAACATTTCAACACCACCAATTTCAATTGAATGACATCTAAGAATGAATTATATTTGCATTGGTATACATAAATGTATGTACTCACCCTACAAAAATAACAGCAATAAATCGATATATTTAATTTATAGAATGTTCGTGAGTACATAAAGGAAGCTAAGTTAATAATTCTAATGGATATAACGATCTTCCACGTGTCCCTATCGAGGTCCCTATACTTATAGCATACTCTTTCAATTGACTTTTCCATTCTTGTTCCCAAGAACCAATCAAAATAAACCGTATTCTTGGTTTCTCCTCTACTTCAGCGATATTTTTTTCGCTTTTTGCGACAATCTGATTCATACAACTACGAAATAACCACAATGCTCAAAGTGAAATGAAATGTTAAATGACTACAAAAAGCTCGAAGTCATATTCACACAATGTTCATAATATGAACAACAATGGTAGATTTCGGGAGAAAAACAACTACTTTCCTCGCTAATGCCACGCAGAACGTTGAATTACATCCTCTCGAGATCTAAGCATCGGCTCGTATAAACGAATACTGATACAAGTGATTCTTTCCTGAATGCTTATTGATTTCGATTTAGCCAGGCCACGCTAAACACCTACAGAACGGATTTGACCTCTTTGACTCTCATCAGTGCAGGACAGTCTCCAGCCAGCAGTCCTAAGACCGCCGACTAAGCGTAGCCTAGCCAGTCGAGTAAAATCAGAGATTTTTGCAGCCAGTACCGTAATGAAATTCTCCTGAGATTATTATTATGTTACTATTTTTGGGGCGATATTATCTGGTAGATCTGTATATTCCGATGAATTTTAAGTTCTCTTAAAATAATTGACTCAACTATGAAAATGGTAGTACCATCACAATGGATAATTCCAGATGGAATTAAATTGAAGCATGGAAATTCGTTGATTATCGGTATTAATACAGTACAGATCATCGAATCACCCATAATTATATCTCAACAACAATATATTTCTAGCATGTGCTGTTTGTACTTGAGTTGATGGTAAAAGTAGTTTGCTAAACAGATATTCATACACTGACTTCATCTTTTCTATTTTCATTGAAATTTTGTAACTCCCGATTTTTCATTGATTGTCCTGCGTTTGGCATTTTCGATTCCATCTTACACTCACTCCAAACTTCGATATTTCAAAGAGTCAAACTGATGCTAAAATGTTGATATAATAGATGTTTCTCAACATCGTTATATAGATAGGCATTCGATCAAATGAACCACGATGTATTGTTGAGTAAATTGAATAAATACGGACTAGCACCGAATATTCTGTAATTAATGAAAAGTTATTTAGAAAATAGATATTTCTTCGTCAAATATAATGGTAATACGTCCGGCTAGTTTAGGGCAAATTCAGGAGTACCGCAGGGATTTAATCTGGGACCGTTGCTTTTTACACTATTTATTAACGACCTGCCGGCCATCCTGGTAAATACAGATTGCCTTCTTTTTGCAGACGACCTAAAAATTTTCGAAAAAGTACAGACTATAAGGGATTGTGTTGCTCTGCAAAAAGACGTGGACAGTATTCATAAATGGAGTAATGAAAATAAACTATATTTCAACATAAATAAATGTTCCGTGCTGACTATAACTCGGTTAAAGGATCCAGTCGTATTTAGGTATGAAATGAACGGGGAACCTCTAGAACGAAAGACAGAGACACGTGATCTTGGTGTAACTTACAATAATGTTTTTTCTTTCACTTACCATCTGGATAATATTGTTAAATCTGCGAATCGTATTTTGGAATATATTGTAAGCCAGACTTCCAGATTTACGAATATACATACCATTAAAATGTTATATTATACTTTAGTCAGGCAAAAACTAGAATTTGCATCAATAATTTGGATGAGTGAAACTCAAAACGCATCAAAAAGAATTGAGAAGGTGCAAAATAAGTTACTTTGATACTTGTATTTCAAGGAATACCATGTATGACCTGACTATTTGACAGTCAGGACTACTGAACTCAGAAATCATTTCAAAATAATATCTCTGGATCAGAGACGAAACCTTAGAAGTATATTGTTTTTGTATAAAATTATCAATAATAGATTGTCCCGAAATTTTAACGCTAATTCCATTCAGAGTACCTTTCTGTCGTATCGTTCCTCCCCTATGTTTCATAATTATCTCCGCTAAGCAGTCAAGTAAATCCCCTCTTGTAGCCATGCTTCGACTAGCCATCAGCCAATCAATTCAATGTTCTGAATGTATTAGATTGGTCAAAAGCTCCAACTGCTTTCAGAAATGAAATTTTAAATTCCATATTGAACTTCTCCATTTGGGTTATCCATGTAATTAGGCCAGTAGGCCTGTTTGGATGAATAAATAAATGAATAAATAAATAAATGAATAAATAAATAAATAGAGATGTATGAGGGATGAAGCTACCCACGGTGAGTAGTTAGCTTGATAATAATAAGAATATCTTGTTCAAACGTTACAAGGAACCAAATGCAGAAGTCCTAGACTGCTGGCTTCTGAACTTTTTGGGGGATATTTGATATGAGAATGTGTGAATTTATTTTGGGAATTTATGAAAGAGCATTGCACAATATTCGAAAATGATCCTTGTGCCAGACTTTCATAAAACGCACTTTTTTTGGCCCTATATGGCACTATCCCGATCACGGTGTCCAAGTGGTCTGACACGATCAAACTTGCTATAAGTCGCGTTTTTTTGTGATTCTCTGGAGTAGAAATTGTGTAGAAACGAATAGAACGATAAAGAATCAAGAATTACATTGATGTGATGACAACCGTGTGACAGCCACGTATGTATATACAATCAAAACATCACACAATCAACATAATTTTTTATAAAAAAACATCAAAGTTCATATGACATGAATTTTTTGATCTTTGGATTGGATCAATTGGATTAATAATACATTTTGAATAATAATTTTCGTACGTGCAGACTGCATGAGGTGGGTATTTCTACTATGACTAACCAATAATTATTCCCTAGGAATTGATGATGTTATTCGATATCGATATAACCTATTAATGGAGAATATTATAGTGAATCTTGCAGTGAGCATCATAATGTTGGATGGGAATGCAAGGTGCATTGAATCTTATATTTGTTGGAGCAGAAGATGATACCTATCAACTTTCTTCATGAAATTAGGGATTCGTTAGATGACATCCAGGATGATGAATGTTTCATACTGACCTCTCTCAGAATGTGTAATGAAGAAGTCGAAAAAAGGGAGAATTTTCATGAAATTGTTATACCAAGTTTCAATACCATGACCTTTCAGAGCCATTTCAGGATGACTCCTGAATGTTTCCATGTGCACAGTTTTCCTTTTCTGTTGGCTCATCTTTTCAATCAGTAGAAGTACCTCCCTTTTCTCTATTCTGTATCTACTATTTTTTTTTTAAGTTTAAATAACAACAAAATCAATATTATGATGTATGTCAAATACCCTTTTATTTGTCAAACTTTCCAGACATTCCACCACATGTTCTGAGCCCGAACTCCGCTTCGCGTCGTTCGTGTCAACGGCAGTCGCGTGCGGGAAAGAATCACTTTCCGCATTTGTTAGAAAAATTACTATTTTCTACAAGCGTGCGTGATTCACCCATTCAGTGTCATTTTCCCGCAACATTGCGGAAAAAACAAAGATATGATAATATGGCAAAATATATGTGATGGTATAGGTGATGGAATATGAGAGTTTGAGTTTGTTTGTTGCATTATCAAGTATGTATGTCAGAATCATCCATCGAATCGCACTATTTATTGTGAAAATTAAGAAATATTGAAAAATAAAAATTTATTATCATAAAAATTCCCCTATAGATTTGAATTGATCTGATGGGAAACGATTATTGTTGTCATGCCAATCAAACCTCGAATGAGTTTGTAATTGTCGAAGACACAGCGTTTCTGTCATTTTCGATTCAGTGGAATTGCCACAATTTGATCAAAAACTTCCAGCTATAGGGATGCGATACAGATGCGTTATTGCCAACGCAGTCTTAAGAAAGGTATGAGAATCTATACACGCATTTTATTGAATGGTGCAACAATTTCTAGAAGTGTCTTAAACCTAGTGACCAAACACCATATGGGCCTGCTGGCTTCCGCAATGAACCTACATAATGCGTCAAACTGTAAGTTCACAATAGCTATCACTAATAATCAGTAGATAGATGATATATTTCTCTCGTTAGTTGTTCCTATATGCTTGAATAATTAATTGAACAAATCAATCAACTTCCTACGCGTCGTTCGTGTCAACGGCTGTCGCGTGCGGGAAAGAATCACTTTCAGCACTTGTTAGGAAGATTACTAATTCAGTTAACGCTAAGACATACGGAAAATGAGTCTCTGGCATGAATATTCTATACTTCTGGGTTTAGTGTTCTTGCGGATTTGAAATAAAAAACATTTCAAGTAAGGCACGGCTAGGCAGGGACATCCT